TAGATACTAGCTAGTACTAGGACCACATAGAGTATGGTTAACTTGCAACCACTATCTCACTATATAAACTATGCTAAACTAATAGCTTAATAGTGATGTGTTCTATTAGATACTAGCTAGTACTAGGACCACATAGAGTATGGTTAACTTGCCACCACTATCTCACTATTTTTTTATCTCAACACTTATTTTACTTCGGATATTCCAACAGCCACATTGTTACACAAGTGTGTAACCAGCCAATTACAGGAAGCCGAAGGATTCAATTATACATTAGGCCAGTGACGGTTAAGGTAGTGTGTACCATACTTTCTTCGCCCGAGACTTTGCTGCAATGGGCAGCTCCTCATTTAACCCTCACACCCGATTTCTCGAGTATTTGGCTGAGTGGACCGGGGGCTGCATAGACCACTCAGGATCCTTAGCTGAGCGTCGACGACGCTCACCCCACGGCTAGTGACAGAGTCGGGAATCGAACTATATATACAAAAACAGGACACTATTTATGAAACACCCTGTATAAACTATGCTATACTGATAGTGAGCTGTTCTATAAATATAGCAGCTACTCCCTGAGGGAAACTAAACGTCCTTTAAGCCCAGCAATGATGCAGGGCAGGCCAATCCTCCCTTTACGATAGCTTCGCCTCCCCAAAAAGAGAACATATCATGTTTATAAGGGCAAGATTATTATATGCCTCCACGGCTATTTCTGTGCTCAGGATGCTGGATAATGTGGCAAAATGCGTCAATCTTCCGGAGGCTCCGACTTTTTAGACTCTGACCAGAGCCCCTCGCCTGGCTACGAGGTTGGAGATACAAAGATAATTTCTAATTACTGTAGTGAGAGAAAATGTGTGTTTTTTTAAATGGAAAAATCTCTAAAATGGTGAATGAGAGAAATCAGTCCTCATCGCTTGCTAAAGAGCTAAAAACACGTTATGAATCACAAAAGATTTCACGAAAAATAGCTAACGATCAAGACGTGTGAAGTGACTTTTGATCCTGATCATAAATATTACGTTAAATAGGTCGTGCAGTCGCTTATCTAAACAAGTCAGCTGGAATCTAGTGATCAGTGAGAGACTTGTATCTAATTATGTGATCTAGTTAATCAGATCCAACAAAGATATTTGGTGGATAGCCAAGTTACTTGTTTTCAAACTAAAAATGGGATAAGTGTTGAGTTGAGTATGGTGTACCCCAGCTGGCAGCTAGGGGTCAGTGTTAGGACCTCTATTATTTCTGATTCATATACCAGTACTTTAGTAATTAAAAGAAGAATATATTTGCAGAGATGCAGGCCCGCTATCAGATGAATTATACTACCAGTACGAGCTACAATGCAAGAGTTATACTACCAGTACCAGACTCAACAAGAGTTATACTACCTGTACCAGCTACAACAAGAGTTATACTACCAGTATCAGCTACAACAAGAGTTATACTACCAGTAACAGCTACAACAAGAGTTATACTACCTGTATCAGACTCAACAAGAGTTATACTACCAGTACCAGCTACAACAAGAGTTATACTACCAGTAACAGCTACAACAAGAGTTATACTACCAGTACCAGCTACAACAAGAGTTATACTACCAGTACCAGACTCAACAAGAGTTATACTACCAGTACCAGCTACAACAAGAGTTATACTACCAGTACCAGCTACTACAAGAGTTATACTACCAGTACCAGCTACA